TTTATGTTGGATTTTTGGATTCCTGTCTCAGTTCCCTGTTAATAATTTCATTAACTCTACAAAACTCACCTCTGCCTCCTCTTCTCTGCATTTGGTCCTCAAAACCTCAACCAAACCCTGACTACATGGAAAATAATAGAATATTGTTCTTTTTCTAGGTGTTTGTTAATCTGCATAGTTGCTCAGAAAGTAGTTTTAATATATATAAAAAATATAAAGCTAATAGGTTATCCATTATTAAACTGGTTCAAAATTTTTTTAGGTTTGTGACTCAATATTGAACCAAAACACAGATTTACCTTCACAGCCTCAGAAGGACGAGATTTATTAAATCTGTTTATGAAATTAGGTTTTGTTTTTAGAGTTTTCTTATAATGTTTTTTGTTGGAATTCATATAAATATGCTGGTGTGATAATTTGGTTTGATTGGTTTTTGGTATTTGTCTATTTTGAAAATATAGCCCCCCTGGAGAAAACTCCACCTCAGTCCTCTGGCTCCATCTAGTGGCCACATCAGGACATTTAATGATGAAACCTTAAATATTGGAGGCTTTTCCTGCTTTATTGAGTTTATTTTTTATTAATCAGGAACATTTCTACAAATAAATACTGACGCTGCAGAGCAGGACAAGGAATGAAACGCATCGCATGAACACAGAGACACGACGAAAACCAACCCGTAGAAAACAGGAAACACTTTAAAAAGAAGCAGAATTCAATCAAAGTGGCTTTAGAAAATACATCCAGGCGTGTTTTTCACCATCAGAGCAGCAGTTTTCCAGCATTAAGGTCAGAAACCAGAACCAGGCGGGTCTGTGGAGTGATCCGATGGCGCCTGGTCGGACCGCCGGTTCTTTGCTCCACCCAGAGCAGGAATGATAAAACTCATCCCGCCTCATTATAAACATCAGGAGGGGACAGATCAGAGTCAGAACCAGGTTCTGAAAATTGAGCGGTTCCGACCCGAAGGAGAGCCGCTGCTTCCCGTCCAAACATGGAAACAGAACCAAGTTTTTGTTTCTGAATGTCTTCACTGTTAGTGTTCACTGAGCAGCACCAGAACCTTCTACCCCCCCCCAGAAAAAACACTGCGATTAAAAAATGATTTAAAAATCGGAGTATAAAAGCGAGCGCAGCGGCGGCATCATTCGGCCGCAGAAAAGGAACATTTCACTGAATACGGGCAGAACCGACCCGTCCATGTGCTCCAGGCTTCAAGTAAAAGGAAAAGACGCTTCCAGTGCTTCAGGCGTGGCGGTCCGGTCCGGTCCGGTC